CCGGCCCGAGGGAGGCAGGGAGGGGACCCCTCCACGCAGACCGGCAGTGTGGCCGGGAAGTCGTCCGAACAGCAGGCCCAGCCTTACCCTGCCACCACATGCTTTAACTGTGACCCTCCACACCCTCGAGTCCCTGGGCTGGAATGTAAAGCCGCATTCGTTTCATACATGCCCTCTTGTTTCCATCAGCTCTTCCTGGGTATAACACGAGCCTGCAGTACTCGCCTGGACGCAGTGGCCCGTGTGCGACCACAGACCCCACATGAACACTCGTTTTGTTCAGGCCTGTCCTGTCCTTGTGTGTGTTTTTTAGAGAGGGATTTTTGCTGTAGGGCGTGTGCACTCACTGGAGGGACACAGAGAGAGACAGAGACAGAAAGCAAGAAATCGCCCCCCAGGGATGATGGCCACACCGCAATCCCTTCTCCATTCTCCTCTCTGGATCTTGGGCACACACGCATGCGTGCCTGGTGTGAGTTTAAGCCACCGTCTCCAGAACTCGAACTGCGGTCAACAACATGGGAGTCCAGCAACATAGCCATTATGTCGTCTGCTGGTCCCCTGTCCTCACATAAGAGAGAAATAAACAAGGTGACAGGAGAACCTGCTTCGGCGTCAGATTTACTCGTCCATACAGTAGAATCTCAGGTCGGACGACCCGTGAAGACAGGAGGCGTGTTGGCACGTGCATGTCCATCAGCGTCCCGGTGGGAGTGGCTGAGAGGAGGCTCTGGGCCGCGCTTTTTAATCTTACAGAACATGGAGAGCTTTGATTCCAAAATGGAATCACTCAGACTTTAACATTCTCCTTTTATTTTATTTTCTCTTTAGTCCTTGAAGAAAAAAACTGCTCAGACCCTGGGGGCCTAGGCCACGGGTACAGGAAGGTGACAGGGGGCCCCGGGCTCGTGGATGGGCGCCTGGCCAAGGTGGGCACCGTCGTGTCCTTCTTCTGCAACGGCTCGTACGTCCTCAGCGGGAGCCTGGAGAGGACATGCCAGCCAGACGGACGGTGGTCGGGGAAGCAGCCCGTCTGCATAAAAGGTAACAGCGACGTCCCGCAGGCCTTCCAGGAGCACCCTGCCCCTGCGTGGTTCAAGCCCCCTCCCCTGCGTTCTCCCCAGACTGTACCTAAGTTCTTAGCTCAGAAAGCACCCCAAGAAACTTGCTTCCCTCTGGACCTCAGGAGCAGCTGCTTGCTCCAGCCGCACCGCCTGGGCTTGAGCAGGGCCGTGCGATATCAGAGTTGGGAGGGGCAGGGGCAGGGGCAGGGGCAGGGCTGCTCCTCGAGTTTGTTTCGTGGGCTAGAGACAGATGGAGAGAAAGCACCTCCGTGAGGTCTTGGTGCCATGAGCCCTGGTCTCAGCCAGCCCCAGAGGGGCGCACATGAGTGTGCACACGCAGGGGTCTCGGGGGTCCATGTCAGTGAGTGAGGGAGCGGGCCACGTTCGTGCTGGGCGCTGGCTGTCACCCAGTGTCCAACCCAGCACTTGGTTCCGGGAAGGCACGGTGACTGTGGGGTTGGAGGTGTCAGGTGTTTAACTATAAGGAGCTTCAATTCCTGGAGAGCAGGGCTGGGGACTCCGGGCCCTCGGGGACAGTCCGGGAGCAGGTGCAGGGGTCCGTTCAGGAAAGGGAGTGCTCGGTCTTGCTGGGTGATCTCACAGGTGGAAGGCTGGAGTGGGTTTGTGGATGTCAGAGTTGGGGGATCCTCCAGATGAACGGGTCCCACGGGCGGGCACAGGGAAGGAAGCGGGTAAATCGGGGGGAGGAGGCCTGCGCAGAGGGGCTAAGGACGGATGCGGGGATCAGAACGGTGGAACGGCGGCGTGAGCTGTGGTTACCTGCTGGCCCCCGGGCCACGGTTCTGACGGACTGACCGGGGACAGCTCCGGCCACCAGCCCTGTCCTGGGAGGCAGGCCGCTGTGCCCCAGCTGCTCCCTGGAAGACAGCGTGTCCTTGTTCTAGCTCGTCCCGATAGCTGCTGGGGCCTCCACTCTCCCCCCTGGGTGTTTGTCAACAACCTGAGCCCTGGGAAAGAGAGAAAGAGAACAGTTTGTGAAAGAAATAAATCACTTTAGACTTCAGCCAGGAGTGAGGCCTCAGAGCCCGGTTTGCACTTCATTAAGCATGGGAATGGTGTCACATAGGCCCTTGGGGAGTTCTCCCAGCCCTTCTCTGACACACTGCTGGGCCAGAGCTCCCCAAGCTGCTAATTAGGCAAATGTTGGCTGCTTGATTGGGGAAGGGCGGTGGGAGGGCTCCTTTCACTTGCGAAGAAAGAGAGCCTTTACCAAAGCGAAACTGGGCTTCCAGTGGCCCTGGAAGTGGCCGTCAGGGGTCTTAGTTGCAGAGAGGGACATGGAGGGGCCAGCTTCCCGCCTCGCCTGTGGGAGACACTGTGCCCAGTTTCAGTGGAAACCTTCCCATTCCCTCTGTGGGTTGTGGGTGTTGTTTGGCTGTAGGGCGCGTGCACATGCCAGAGATTGACAGAGACAGAGAGACAGAGACGGGAGGTAGGAAACCCCCCTGGGGTGGGCTACACCACAGCCCCTGCTCTTCTCGGGATTTGGGGCACGAAAATGCACACATGCCTGGAGTGGTTTTTCCGAGTGCCGAGTCCAGGTCTCAAACCTCCGTCTATCACGTAAGAGTCCACCTTAAACACCACGCCACGTGCTGGCCCCTGGGCTGTGGTGTAGAACCTTCCCTTTGACTGTTCCATCGGGTTAAGGTGCCGGTACTGTGCCCGTGAGCGGGGACTCTAAGCTGTTACTGCTGTGTCCCCAGTCCCTGAGGACGAGCACCCTGAGAGGTGTTTCCTGGAGGCCCGCAGAGGGGCGGTCCACCAGGGAGGCGTGACTTCCCTGCTGTCCAAGCCGGGCTCTCCTCAGTGAGCACAGGTCCTGCAGGCCCCAGGCAGGGTTCAGCACGAACCCTGACCAGGTGATGTGGACAGTGAGCGGGAGGACGGCATCTCCAGGGCCACCTCTTCTTCCTAGCCTGCCGAGAGCCGAAGACCTCAGACCTGGTGCGAAGGAAGGTTCTTCCGATGCAGGCTCAGTCCAGGTGAGGCCGAAACGCCAGGACCCTGCTTTCGTGGGAGTGTCGCTCCCTGCCCTCTTCCCACGTGTGCTTGGTTGGGACAGTCTGGGGAGTCCTAGGGACACCGGAGTGACCGCTGGTGGAGAGCAGGACTTGTTAGGTGGGGGGCTGATTACCAGGCGCCTTCGCCCAGGAGGTAGCGGCTGCCGGAAGATGGCATGTCCGTGGATGGTGGGAATGGAGGTGGACGGTGGGGACAGAGGTGGACGATGGGAAGACATACTCCCCGCTGACCGAGGGCCGTGCATGGTACCTGAGCCCGTCTGGAATCACAACCGCTATGCATGCCGGCAGTGTGCAGGGAGACGTGTCTGCCAATCTGTTCGTTTACTGCGTCCACATGTGACCGCCGGGTAGGTAAGGAGGCGTCTTGGTGGGAGCCAACCCCATGTGGCAGGCAGGCGGGTGCAGCAGATGGGGACAGACACAGCCCTCGGGGGCGCCATCCCCTGCTGGAAGGGTGTGTGGGTGCCACCCTTTTCTGCCACCATGTCCTTACTGTTCTCCTCCTCTGTCTTCACGGAGTCATTTTCTGTCACTCCATACACGACTCTGCCCTGGAAATGTCACACTCGTGCCTCCCGCCTCCCCACTCCCCTGCACAGGGCAGGCTGATACCACCCGTTCAGTTCTGCGGGCGTCACCTGCCCGAGACCGGCCCTCCCACCTTTTCAGAGTAGCGGCCCCACTCCACCCCGGCCCCAGCTGACCGCCTGGCCGTGCCGTGAACTTGGTCCTGGCTTGGCGTCTCCCTGCTGCCCTTCATGCACAGCGTGGTGTGTCTTTCCATTCTCTGCTCCACCACGTGGAGGTCCCCGCCATGCGGCACTTCTAGTCCTGGGCAGTGCCGATGGCAGAGCCGGAGCTTAGTGAGCCCAAGGGCTCCTGCAGTCCTGTCTCACCCTCCCCGCACCCCCATGGTGTCACCCTCTTGCCCTCCCCCACCCCCGTGGTGTCACCGTCTCGCCCTCCCCGCACCCCCGTGGTGTCACCGTCCGGCCCTCCCCGCACCCCTGTGGTGTCACCGTCTCGCCGGCGGGTGAAGAGCTGAGGCGCGTGCAGGCCCCCTCTGGCCTCAGCAAAGTGTGGCACGGGCAGTGCCTACTGCAGTCCTGGCATCAGAACAGCAGCAGTGAGACCCGGCGATCAGACGTGGCCCCAGTCAAGTGGCCCGGAGGCTCACTAGGTCAGGATGGCTATCGGTGTCCTCCTCTGGTGCCTGTGCATCCGTCTTTTCCTCTTCAGGCAGGTGTGTGCTTGGGGCCCTTTCTCCAGGCTTTGTGGCTTCCCTGGGCTTAGCGGGACCCGCCGTCCTTCCCAGGGGACGTCTCACAGAGCAGCCCCTGAGCGATTCGGGAGAGGAGCGTCAATGGGAGGTGGCGATGTGATATGGTGCTAGGTGTCACAAGGCTGGGAGAGCGAGCCCCGAAAGCTCCCTGAAAGTGGCTTCTGGCAGGGACTGTGCCGTGTCCAGCAGCTAGGTTCACCAGGGCCCCAGGGCAGGTGAAGCCCTTGGGCCCAAAGGAGGGCTTGTCTGCGAGCGCGGCAGCTCCCCGAGCACAGACCTGGCTGTGAACATGCGCTAAGCATTTGCCGGACTGAGTGAGCGGGCAGAAGATGCCCTGAGCACGCGCCGTGCAGACCGACACACGACACTCCCCACGATGGCAGTGGGGATGGTTGGGCCCCGGAGAAGACACCTGCAGAGCCCTCCTAGGCCAGCGTCCTGTCCTGTGAGCCCAAACAGCCCTCACCTCCGGCCTCCTTCCTCCACCCACTGAACAGGGCGACAGCATCGTCCCTGGACCCCGCTTCTCAGTGGCAGTGGCGGTGCCCCACTGGACAGTGAGCCCCCGTGGCCCCGTGTCTGCACATCCCGGTCACGGACTGTGCGGGGGCTGCAGCCCAGGCTCATTGTGCCCTGGGGAAGGGCTGTGTCCTCCGGGGAGCACCAGCAGGCCTGCTCATCGTTAGCCTGCAGCTCAGGACGGTCGCTTCCGAATACCGCCCGTGCTGATAACATTCAGAAAACAACGCTGGGAGCCCTCTGGATCACATGCGCTCCCTCGCTGTTTGATGCCGCGGTTACTTTCACGTGCGCACATGGACGCAGCACCTCTGGAAAGCCACCACGGTGTCAGCGCCCTCCGTGGGTAAAAGCCAGCTGCTGGAAGCACGCCAGCAATGGGAACAGGAGTGAGAGGAGTGTGGTGTGCCAGGGGACTGGTGGAGGAGAGGTGACGTGTGCGTGAGAGACGAGACAGAGACAGAGACAGAGCCTGAGCTGGCCGCCCCCTTCCGCGAGGGCTGGGTGGGGCGGCCGCAAAACCACAGTGACTGTCTCTCGCCCTGCTCCCCTCTGGGCCCTCGTGCCTCTGCCCAGGGAGACGCCACTGCGCCAGCTCTACCTGGCGGCCTTCGGCAAGCAGGACCCGCAGGGCGCCCCTGCCAAGAAGCCTGCGCTCCCCTTCGGAGACCTGCCCGCCGGGTACCAGCACCTGCACACGCAGCTGCAGTACGAGTGTGCCTCGCCCTTCTACCGCCGCCTGGGCAGCAGCCGGAGGACGTGTCTGCGGACCGGGAGGTGGAGCGGGCGGGCCCCGACCTGCATCCCTGGTGAGTCAGAGCACATGTCTGGGTGACTGCGTTGCGACACGCTAAGCCCTCGGGGAGGCCTCTGAGCTCAGACTCTGAGGCCCACCATCAGGGCTTCCTCCCTTTGGCTGAAACCTACTCGCCCTGAAAAACCGACTCCATACAGCTCGGAGCGGTGCTTTCCCGTGGCCGAGCCGTCCTTTCACTTGGAGCAGGGGGAGCAGGTGTGTCCTCGGTGCCAGGAACAGGGGAGGCTGAGGGTACAGGGACGAGCCGTGTCGAGGCTGCGCGTCAGGGGCCGGTTCTAGGCTGCGTGTCTAGCGTGTCAGGTGCCGTGTCTAGGCTGCGTGTCTAGCATGTCAGGGGCCGTGTCTAGGCTGCGTGTCTAGCGTGTCAGGGGCCGTGTCTAGGGTGCATGTCTCGGCTTTCATGGGGCTGGGGGGGAGCGTGTCAGGGGCCGTGTCTAGGCTGCATGTCTAGCATGTCAGGGGCTGTGTCGAGGCTGCCCACTCATGCCCGGTGCCAGGAGGGGATTCGCCGTGTGCTGCCGTCACTGCCACGTTGGCCGGCCTCACTGAGAAGGGGGTCTGTCAGGCTGCGCGGTGCTCACTCCTCTCTGGAAGGATTGCTGAGCGGCCGCCCCGGGACTGTGACCTCGGTCCCTTCCAAGTCACCGCTCCGGCTCCTCCGGACCCTCCGAGGTGGCTCTTGCTGCCCTGTCCCAGAGACAGGCGAGAAAGTCAGGTTCTCTCTCAAAGTCCGACCAAGAATAAACGCCCTGGTCTGAATCCAGGTTTGATGGCCATGGCAAAACCTCCGTTGTAACCCCAGGCCTTATGGCCAAACTTGTCATGTGTCTGATTAACGCTCAGAGGGAGGGGACCGGCGGGGGGTGGGAGCTGTCAAGTACCCTCAGTCACTGGCGCGCTTCCCTGGGGTCTGAGTCTTACCGAGCGTTGTTTCCTGCAGTTTGTGGGCAGGTGGAGAATAGCACTGCTCCGAAGACCCAAGGGCCACGCTGGCCGTGGCAGGCTGCCGTCTACCGGAGGGACAGCGGGGTGCGCGAGGGCGGGCCGCCCACGGGTGCGTGGGTCCTGGTCTGCAGTGGTGCCCTGGTGAACGACCGCACCGTGGTGGTGGCCGCCCACTGTGTCGCCGGCCTAGAGAAGGCCACCGCCGTCAGGGCCACAGACCTCCAGGTCGTCCTGGGGAAGTTTTACCGGAGCGATGACCGGGATGAGAAGACCGTCCAGAGCCTGCGGGTAAGTGAGGGCTCTGCTGGGCCCGGGTTGGCCCCTCTGCTCAGGAGGGCCGTCACCGCTGGCCCGGAGCCGGCACAAGGCGGGCACTCAGCCCACCGGGTCGCGTGGTACGGGCGCTCGAAGGGACTCGTCTCTGGGGAGCTTCCCCTTACCTGTTCCAGAAGTAGGCGGAGACAGGTGTCACTCCGCTCGGGGTCAGAGAAGCCGCCCCTGAGAGTCGGAGCCTGAGGGCAGAGCACAGCACCATCGGGAAGACCGATGCCTGCGCGGGCAGTGTGGCTGGCTCTGCTGAAACACGGCTTAGCCCGGGACCGTGCC